TTGGATCAGCTCCCCTGGATGGCTTTGGAGATACTATGTCCGCTTGCCCACGTGGTCCCCAGCCCCTGAAGACGTCCGTTATCGGAGCTTTGATTGCACTGGCTGTCATAAATGTTGCCGCATAAGTGTGCCTCACTTTGTCAATAGTAACTGCAGGTAAATGCACGGCAGCGGCGATCTCTGCGGATGTGACGGTGAGGTGACGGCTGCTTGTGAGCACACCTCGGCACGCTGCCAGGTGTTTCCTGGAGGTGGTCATAAGCCCTTCATCCCGAAAGCATCTTGCCTTTGCAGCTGAGAGGGAGGAAAAGCTGAGTCACTTTGGGTTTCTCAGTTGGTAGATCCTTACTTTGCTAGGTGTTGTAAGAACAAAAATCCCAACCCATAAACAGCATTGTAACGACTCGTGCGAGGGGGTAGCGCTGCTGGAGGTCGGGCATTTTCTGAGGAGGTTCATTTCCTCAGGATGTCCTTCCTAGAAGCGCTCCCTAAACATCTGTTTGTATTATGTGCTCAGGCTTACGTGTTCCTCTTTATAACCTTTTCTCTGCCATGCCAAGTAACGTGTGAGGGTGTGGCTGAGCAGTCTGCGTACCTGGTTATGTCAAGCAAATCCTGCTACCGCCCCAGGAGGTGGCGGTCCCTGAGCTTCTGCAGCCAGTGCTGCCCCACGGTCAGCAGCGGTGTGCGCCATGTTCATGTCCTGAAGCCATTAACATCTTGCTATCTTCAGTGGCTGAAAAATGATTGCAAGCACTGTGAAGACAGTATAGGCATGAGTGTTAGTCTGCAGAACATTGGGCAAATATATAGCCCATCAAAGATGGACACTGGAAGGGACCTTCCCCATGCACCCACAGAAAGGTCCATGTGGTTTAACTCTGACATGGAGGTGGTATCCAAGGCATCCTGGAAAACAAAGTCCTACACAGATATGGAAAGTAGAAATATGCATGGTCCCCGATACATTAAATATAAAAATGGCAGTAAACCAGGTCAAACCAAAAAGAGGGACCATAGGCATCCACTTACCAAGACAAAACCTTAAATCTGAGGGCAACCTTTCAGACAGAAGGAAGAAGCCTTCCAGGGAGTCCTTGGTGCTGGCGGGCAATTGAGGAATGAAAGAACTGCTCAAAAATGCGAAGACTGTAGTAGACAAGCTGAAGGTTGTCTGGTTTTACTTGAAGAGCTCAGAGGGCTTTCTCTGTTAGAGACTTCGATGGGGAGGCTTGGGGGCAGGTCTCAAGCTGAAACATTGGCAGAGGAGGTGGAAGGACAGAGTGTTCAATGAATGTGAGCAGGGGGCTGGGCCTGCACCCCAAATTGTTGGGGGACCTGAGGGTTGAAAAGGCCGAAGCTCCTGCTTGTAGCCTCTCGTTTAAAGTTCTCCTCACATTAGGGAAGTGTCAGAAGTGTGGATGGGGTTCGAAAGAAGGTTTGTTTTCAGAGCACTACCAGCCAGTGACTGCGATGCCTTTGCTGCGCTGATAGAGACTCTCATGAAGGCTTGAGACATAAATGGCTGTGATGTGCTGGAAGGGCCAGTGGGTGGTGGATGAGGAAGAGGAGGAATCCCGACTTTAAATCTGCTGGGAGGCTTCTGAAGGAGGCAGCAAGTGTGTGGACCAGGAAGCTGGAGTTAATCTAGTCTGTCTGGGTTTCCAAAAGGCTTTTCATCAAGTCCTTTATGAAAGCCATTGAAGCATCTAGACTGATGCAGGATAAAAAGGAGATGCCTGTTGGGGCCTAGTAAAGGTCATGATTGGAAGTATTCAGGGTTGTAACTGGGAAAGCAGGCAGTGTTGAGCTGCAGAGGGGCAGGGTGGGAAGGAGGAATCGCTGCCAGTGACGGCTGCTGAGCCAGCTGTGATCTCGCAACTCAGACATCGCTGCTGCTGAGCGACGGTCCTGTGAAAGTACCTGTTCTGTCCTGGTGAGGTGGGACGGAGGAGCCCTTGCAGAGCAGGACTGCCCTGGCACGCAGAGCCACCGCAGCGCTACGCGTGGGACGGGGCAGGGTGTGCTCATGGGAGGCACAGTTTGCGTTTGTGCTTTCTCCCCAGCTCTCCTGCCACTTCTCTCTCCATCTAATCTCCCCTCCGCCTTGATCTCACACTGTGGGGTGTGGACCCTCTCCCCCAGCAGGGCTAAGGCTCCCCAAACAAAAGAGGAGGAGGTGTAAGGCCACCGCAGCCCTTCCCGTGGCTGCCTGCAGCACAGACCCAGGGTGTTCCCAAGGGCCTTCCCTGCCCTGCAGCTCCATCCATAGTGGCCACAATTCGTATGTCTGCTGCATCTTCCCTCCCCAGTGCAGCGCTCGCGACATGCCCCTTGGCCACGTCCCGCCCTGGGACCCGCTCTCAGCCTTTCCGCATCTGCCTGCGCTCCTCAGGTTACTGTTTGACAGAGGAAGGCTTGAACCTGCTCTGTTTCCTGGCAGCTTGGATTTTTCTGGCTCACGAGGCAGGAGAGGTGGCTTGTGGCACTTTGCTTAAAGGGATGGAGCAGTTGCGGTCACAGCCCACGAGGGTCACCCACCCTGCGGGAGTGTAAAGGATGCGACAAATGCGTTTGTAAGATTCTGTAACACACAAAAATGTGGAGGCTTTGTTTCCGTGAATTTCTTTGTTACAAGTTACTAGTAGTAAGGTAAATACACTTATGATTAGTAAAGCAAATGTGTGTATATATAATTTTTTTTTTTTTTAGTATTAGTAGCAAGTATATATATATTTCATTCAGGGTATTACAGTACAGTTCATTAAGCTGCTCCCAGGAGTGAGGTCAATCGATGACGGATGATGCCTCTCTTTGCAGATGATCCGCATCACGGAGTCTGGAGTCAGCCAGGCATCCCCGGCAGGTCCAAAGGATTGTGCAGAGAAGTTCATGCTGGGGGAGCTCTCGGGGAGAGAGGGGCTCGTTTTGGGTAGGTGGCCAGTTACTTTTACATGGATCCATAAGCGGGCAGAGGACACCAGCACCTGGAATAGCTGTTGCTGACTTCTGCTTGCTTAGGAGGCCCCTTTGTGGGTTATAGCAGGTGTTTTGCCCTGCAGGTTATAGCATTTTCTTTGTTTTGGGCTTATCATGGATGCCCTGGGCTCCCAGCTGTGCTTATCAAGGGTGTTGCCATCTCCCACTTGCGCCTGCCAAGGATGCACCACGTTCCCAGGCTGGCAGACATTTTCTCCATCTGTATTTTAGCAGACATCTCTTGTCAGTACTTGTCTCCATTATAACCAGGTTGCCTTTATGGCTGCCGCTCCGAGAGAAAAAAATCCCTGCAGGAAGAGGCTGCCCTGGGTCTGGCAGTGACCCCGCAGGAGCCCCACAGCTGTGCTACCTACAGGTACCAGTGGGGCTGGGTGTTGGGAACTCTGCTTGCTCCCTCCTACCAGCGCCCATGTCAAAGCAGGGCACGGGCTCTGCCTTGGTGCTTGGCTGGGGGATGTCCACCGCCCCGTGTGCCATCGTGGCAGCTTCCTGATCATGCGCTCGCTGCTCACCCCGCTGCTGCAGGGTTGTCTGGAAACGTGGCTGGAGGGGAGGGACCTCCGTGGGCACAGCGGGTGCTGTGAGTGCACCGGTCCCTTCCGGCAGGCAGCTGCTCAGCAGAGCTCTGCTGCTCGGCCTGAGAGACGCCACTACCCCCAGGGCTTCGCTGCACCGCCCGGAGAGCGAGGGGCTGGGGAGCTGTGCTGCACGAGCCGAGAAGCCCCAGGTGAGGGATGCCCTAAAATCGTGTTGGGGACGTGCCGTCCTTGGGCTGTGCCCCACAGGGGACGGCCATGGCTAGCTCAGCCCTGGGAGCCATCCTCGCTGTGCTGGCCTCACTCATCATCACTGCCAACGTGCTGGTGGCCATTGCTCTCCTTCGCCTCATCCAGAAGAGCAGCTCCAAGGGGCTCTATTTTGTCCTTAACCTCGCTGTTGCAGATGCCATGGTTGGCTTCACGGTCGTGGGTCTAGTCACGGATGAGTTTTCCCAGCCCTTTTATCCTCCCCAGATATTCTGTGTCCTGAGAATGGCTTTTGTGACCTCTTCTTCTGCTGCCTCTATCCTATCCCTGATTATGGTTGCGTGCGACAGGCACCTGGCAATCAGAAAGCCTTTCCACTATTTCCAGCTGGTGACAAGCCTGCGGGTCGGGGTGCGCTTGGTGGGTCTCTGGCTGGTTGCTGCCATCATCGGCTTCCTCCCGGTCCTCACCCCAGGCTTTCAGAAGATCTCCACCCATGAGAAGTGCTCCTTCTTCGGAGTCTTCCACCCCACCTACATGCTCACCGTCTTCTGTGTCGGCTTCTTCCCAGCGCTCTTTCTCTTCATTTATCTCTACTGCGACATGCTGAAAATTGCTGCTGTGCACGTGCAGCATATCCGGGAAGTGGAGCACGCAGGGCTGGCGGGGGGCTGCCCCCCATCCCGCACCACCAGCGACATGAAGGCCATGCGCACCGTCGCTGTGCTCATCGGGTGCTTCACGCTGTCCTGGTTGCCGTTCTTCATCGCCAGCATTGTGCAAACTGTCTGTCCCGAGTGCTTCCCCTACAAGGTCATTGAGAACTACCTCTGGCTGCTGGGACTGTGCAACTCCCTCCTGAACCCCCTGCTCTACTCCTACTGGCAGAAGGACGTGCGGCTGCAGCTCTCCCAGCTGGCTGCAGGCGTGAAGAGGAGAGTCCTCCTTCACCTGGGCAATGGCCACCATTTCCCTGGCAGAGGCACCAAGTCTCTCCCCACTGTGTCCTGCCTGCGGCTCCAGGACTGACACGGTAAGGAGCGGCTGTCACCGGCTTTTCAGCTCATCTCCTGCATCATGACCATAAACTTGGGGCCTGACAGCTGTGGAGGAGATCACAGATGGGGTGGGACCAATCTGGATGCTAATTCCCAGACACCAGCATGGCCAAATCCTAGCCTGCCCACAGCCTCACAGAACCAGAGCCCAGCCCGTTTTGCACCAGCCCCCGGTACCCCAAATTGTAGGTGCATAGCACATGTTAGATTTTGCCTGGAGAGCCACAGCAGGAGCAGCCTTGTGTCTCCTGGGACCAAGCCCTCAGCATTCACTGCACAGGCTAAGATCCTTCACCTATCGCTGCCCAGCTTCCTCTGCTCAGACCTGGGCTCTGCCTGCCCTTGCCTCTGCCTGCTGCGACAAGCCCCTGGTGCCCAGGGCAGGGCTGCTCGCACAGCGTTGGCTCCGTCGCCTTTGGCTCCTGGCCCAGGCAGCAGAAGCTGGGAGGTGTGTGCATGTCTTAAATCTCTCCTGGACCGCAAGTGCTCCCGGTTGCTGCCCTTCCTAAACTGAACCCACGATCCTACAGCTGCAGCCTATGCCATCCCCCAAACCTGTCCCCTCCTGCAGCCAGAGAGGCGGCAGTGTTGCCCCTGCTCTGGGCTGTGCCCACCTGAGGCCGAGGCGAGGGGTATGGGTCTGGGGTCTCTGCCATAGCACGGAGGACAGAGAGAGGGCTCCCGCTGTTCCTTGGCAGCTGCTGTGTCTGCACTGCAGCCGGCATGATGGGCGCAGAGCCACCCCAGGTGCTGCAGGCCTAGGAGAGGTGCAGGGCAGCAGGAGCTGTGCTGTCGCTGTTTGGTTTGGGCTGTAAAGTGAGTTAATGAGTAACTGGCTGAACGAGCTGTGGCAAAGGAGCAAGGAAAGCGGCTGCCTTGGAGCCAGGGAAAACCCCATGCAGGGCGGCTACTTTGTCCTACCAGGGCAGCAGGGCTGGACTTGGGACTGCAAGGGTCCCTGCAACACTGACTGATCCCATGGGAGCACACAGCACTTCTGCATGCCCTGCCAGACTGCAGTGGTGGCCAGAATGCTGACACTGCCAGAGGCTATGATGATATGTAATTGCTTCTTGTAAAATCATGTCCATTTAATCCATGTGGCAAGAAAATTTCCCTTAAGAGGTTTCTTAGCTAAGAATGTACTCTAATCTGAAAATGAGGGTGCTATGCATAAACCAGCAGTTGCTTCCACCTCTGTCATTTGCCCCACCCGAAGACATGAAGGCTCAAGGCCATATCCAGTATGCACCCAGAACTTGCCTTGGTCCTGAGGCCTTCCCCATTCTAGAGGAAGAGGCAAATATAGAAGTGCTTTCTAAAAAAAACCCCAAACAACAGGCCCTCTGTGGCATTTACCTCTGCCTGGGAATGCCTGAGACCAAGCATCAATGGCAGATGCTGTTCCTAGCTGTACAACATGGACTGAGCCTGAGAGAAGGCCTCTATAGAGCAGTCCTGGCTCTGTGGGTGGACTGATGCCTCGTAGGTGGATTCTAGTAGGTGGATCCAGCCTGACTCAGTTCTGGGGATCAACGCATCATCTGTCTGTACGATGCATTTGCTGCCTATTCTGGGTGAAGCCTGAGCTCCACAGGCTGTTGCATTGCAAAAGCCAACCTGTCTTCACTGAGCCTCTGAAATGCCGAAGCTGTCTTCTGCTTGCCTGACACGGGCGGGTACCCAGCGTGAATGGAGATGCTTTGCACGTGGGTCTTTTGCTGCATCCCCAGCTTGCTGACTGCCGCCTCTGCTGCCTACGGCCCAGGAGTGGGGCCAGCCATCAGCTGTGTTTGTGCCTGGGCACAAACCAGATGAGACTGCAGATCTGGAACGGGAGGCCGTCATGGGCATGGAGCCCAGTTGAGCTGGCGTGCAGCCACCATGGGGTCTCCATCCCCAGTGGGGATCACGGCTCCGGCAGCCTCCTTGGTGCCACAGAGATACAATGGCTTGGATGGGAGAGATGCTTCTGCCAAGCTCTTGTGTGGACCAAGGACATGGTGCAGCTGGAAACGGAGCACATCCCTGTGGTGGAGGATCCCTTGCTAAGCACCTGCGCTCTGGCCCTGACCTGTGTCTCCTCTCTCCCCAAGCGCTGGGCTGGAGGGAGTGCTCGCAGGCTGGAATAGTTGGGGCTCTATTCCTGGAAGACACCTCCAGATCCTGCTGGGATAGCACGGACCGGGAGCTGCTCCCCCAGAGTCCATGCCAAACGGAGCACATCCCTGTGGTGGAGGATCCCTTGCTAAGCACCTGCGCTCTGGCCCTGACCTGTGTCTCCTCTCTCCCCAAGCGCTGGGCTGGAGGGAGTGCTCGCAGGCTGGAATAGTTGGGGCTCTATTCCTGGAAGACACCTCCAGATCCTGCTGGGATAGCACGGACCGGGAGCTGCTCCCCCAGAGTCCATGCCTGCTGTGGGCACTGCACGCTGCCCCGGCGAGGCTGCAGGAGTGCGGCTGGACGTGGGTGGTCACACCCGAGGCCGTGGGGTGAGGAGGGACGGGTTATTACGGCCCCGAGGGGAAGAGAGGGAAAGATGACGATGGCTTCCTCTGCTCGCTGTCCTTCAGCTGAATAAACCGCATTTCCGCCA